AAACTGAAATGTAAAAAGTAAACTGAAGTCAAAAAAGTAAAGACAGTTAATTGTATTCCTCTTGATTCATATACGTATTAAAGATTCTGAATATTCGATACTTTTTATTGTTTATATGTTTTTAAATATTTAAATATTCCACTTAGGACTATTCATGCAAGTATTTATCTAAAAACTTTGATCATATATCATCTTTTTCTGAGGGACGTCTTTAAGTAAGCATGTGAAGTTTGATAAAAGGTTTTCTCAAAATTTGAAACGATGTCTAAAGTTCAATATGAACTCTAAAAACAGTTTAGTCCTCAACGATTTGTGTTTATTTCAAATTATGATTAAAATTTGTATTATTTTCAAGTTCTAAATAAATACTTTGAAAAGAGTGAAGCTAACGTCCACAATATCTAACATTTGTACATTGTGCATCATGTTGTGGATGTATTGTATAAGATATATATTCTGTTGGTAAAGCTCGTTTCCATAATGCCATTAAACGTTTAACACTTTCTGGTTTTATTGCTAAATCACAACAATAAGACATACAACCATCTGTTCCATCATTTTGATGTTCAATATTCCATACATCATATGCAAAACGAGTTATTTCAGGCGATATTTTATTTGCTAATGATCGATTATTAACAAAATGTGATAATAATTCATTTATATCTGAACTAAGTAATAATGTTGGAGGAAAATCTTGTTGACCATTAAATAAACGAACTATTTTTGTTGGTGTTAATGTTGATTGATCAAGTAATTTAATATGTTTAACAAATGTACGACAAAATGATACATCAGACATCAAACGATAAGGATAATTTGGATTTTCTTTTATGAAATATTCAAATATTTCAGATAAACGATTTTGAATCAATTCACGATGAATATTTATAAATGAAATATGATTAGTTGGAATTTTATCATCAATTTCATTAATTTTTAATTCATTTAAATTTGTATTTGCTTTATAATGACAACCTTCGCATCGTGTACGATCTGATGCATATGGATATTTTCCACAATCAGTACATATATTTTCTGCCCGTGTTTCAACTAAACTATTGTTACTCAATGAAGCCATTTTTAATCACTGAATACTTTTTTAAAATAGCTCGCTTTTTATCATACAGATTATTTTTACTCAAAACTGAGTGTAATTTCATAATTTTGTGAAAAATATTTTTATGATATTGTTTGTGCAAATTAAATCATAGAACGTGTCATGAATATGACGAACGATAGAAATGAAAAAAAGGTCATTGTGCAAGTATACAATCTGTTTCATAGATAATACATGGATACATAATTTTCTTGTGTATCCATGTATTATCGATTTCAAAACATAATACACAAAACTCCTTCAGAATAAATTTTGACAGATAAATGATAAACAGATACAGTTTTCACCAATTTAGAGAAGACATTGAAGAAAATCTATTCGTTTTTCTTCTTTTCTCTTGTATCGCTCAAGTCGTTACGCAATTTTTATTTATTTTCTTGTTCTGTCCTCTCCCTGTACGTTACACAGGTGTAATGACTCAGTCGATTCCGTGTATTTCTTGCGAATTATAACTGTCAACCGACGTTTGAGCGACCGATATTTGAGTGACCGACATTTGAGTGACCTCGACATTTGAGCGACCGACATTTGAGCGGCTCCGAGATTAGACACTTTTCAATATGACTTTTTGCCGATTAGGAAAGTCGAATGATTATTCACTTCAATAACGATTAATAACGATGGCGAGAACAATCTTTTTGTCGTCCGATTATGAACTGAATTATTTGGAAATCTGTACAGGGTGAGGCTGTGTGGGGTGGGGGTGAGGGTGACTGGGAGTGAGAGTGAGCAGCTATAAGTGATGCGCTTCGCTCAATTGTTGGAGTCCTTCAAATGCGGTCGCTCAAATGTGAGTCGCTCAAATGACGGTCACTCAAATGTCGGTGTCTCTTGAATGTCGGTCGGTCACATGTCGGAGTCGCTCAAGTGTCGGTCGCTCAAATGAAAGCGTTCTGTTAAGGGCCCTCTCCTCAGAAATTATCTTCGACACCGTAGATCCGATCTTGACGAAACTTTCTGTAAATGTTCGGCACAATCAGTTACGAGAATGAAAAAACTTTTTTCTCTCCGAGTCTTACTGTTTAGGAGTTTTTCAGAGATCAAGGTCCAAAAAGGACCCTGAACGGCGTCGCAAGATTTTATAATATACTTCAAGCTGGAGAGTTCAGGTTTGTTTTATTTTAAACTAGACACCTAACTACATGAACTGACCGGCTCCGACTTTTCAATTAAGTCTTTATTGGTTTTCCAGGCTACTAACAACCTCCAAAATCCGAAAAATCCTCAGTTTGACAAAAAACTAAGACCTAATTCAAAAATCGACGCCGGTCAGTCGATGTAGTTTCTTTTTCTCTTTTAAACAAAAAAAGAATAAACTCTTTACGACAAACCGCTATTAAAAATCTTGGGACGCACTTCAGGTGTAACTCTATCAACTTATATAGTAAAAACGCTGTATTAAACGCTATATGAAATACTCGATTTTAGGACTTCTAGGAAAAGGCCTATAACTTTTTGATGCAAGGACATACAGAGTTGTGTGAGGTTTTATTTTGATCAGAAACGTTTGCTCTACCAAGCTGTGTTTCGAGAAAAATTTTAGTTACATAAGTATCCAGGAAAAAACTATTATTTGAAGATCCGGTTTTTATCAAACGATAGCTTATCTAGTTCTCTACAAATGATAAGCAATTAGTTTTTTGATCATATGTTTTATTACTTTTTTATACCGATTTTATCAATGTCCCCGCCTGTGGACATTGGGGGAGGGTAAAGGGGTTAAACCAAACCAAATCTATTAGTAACAAAAGTTGAGCACAATATCCTACCTGCAGGTAGTGTATCTAATGGATCTTTCATAGACAAATTGCCACTTCCTAAGATTTGTTTTTAAATCAGAGTGAAAGAACAATCTGAAAGGTTGTTTCGAGAAAAATAACCATTTTAGGTTGTACAGACAGTATAATAAAAACCTTATAAGTCTTGTAAAACTAACGAGGGAACTGCCCCAAGTGTCTGCTCGCTTTTTTCTTGAAACCTAGTGGAGAATAGGTTATCGACTATGCTGATTCCGAATATGACAATGGTTTTTGCTGCTAGGCCTTCGAAGACC